AAAGTTTGGGCAAAGACCAGTTGTTCTCAGATAAACCTTACCTAGACATATATTTCTTGATCTGGTATGTATGATTTGTCAGTAGGTTGTCGGACTAATATGGTTCCCTCTGGTTTTTAAAACTAGCTAGGCATTATTTATCTCCCGCATTGTCTAACCCTTCCATCATGGTTTCCCCTTAACTGGAGAGATGACTCAGTGGTTAAGGACACTTGTTTTCTTCCAGATGACCTGGGTTTGATTTCCAGTACCCACATGGATGCTAACAACTGTCCATAACTCCAGTTCAGGGGATCTGACACCCTACTCTGACCTCTTTGGGTATTGTACGACACAGGTGCACTTATACACATGCAGACAATACACTCATACACATAAAATAAAAATAATAAATATTTTTAAATGCTTCAGAGGAATGCCAGGTATGGTGGTGCAAGCCTTTAATCCCAGCACTTGAGAGGCAGAGGTAGGCTGATCTCTGAGAGCTCCAGATCAGCTGGAAAACCGAAAAAAAAAAAAAAAAAAAGGCTTCAGCTTCAGAATATTACCGCCAATTCTGTTTTTCAGTCACTCCCTTTGTGGTGATGGGAACAGGTCAGGGAAATAAGGAAGAAGTACTGTTAACTGGAATCCAGGCAACCTGTCTAATAAAGCTTTGTGACTCAGCTTTGGTCAGGTCATATCATATCACAGCCCTAAGTAGGGGAAAAGATTATCTCATCTCACTGCTGATAGGATCAGACATGGATGTGGCAGATTGGGGTTTTGATTTGATCCATGTGATGGGAGGTACTGTGACCTAGTTTCACTCAGACTGGGTGTAAGCATGGCATGACCTGAAGAGCATAAGAAATGGCCCAAAGCCTGATGAGTCATTGTTGGTGAGGAAATTTAAGTAAATACAACCCAGTGTGCTCCAGTATAAATAAAGGAAGTATTCCCAGATAACAGAAAAAAGAAAATTGGCACCAAATTTAGAAGTGGAAATGATAAACTTGGAGCACATGTTAATTGAGATTGTGTTTATGACAGGACCAGGGGTCTTAAATATGTTGTTTCTCAAGCAGATTCTTACAAAACCTAGCATAGAGCATTACCATCTTTTAGCTGTAGAGTTTAAGGGAGAGGTAGGAAAGTGGTGTAGCTCATAAGTAGGTAGAGCTCCATTTCATTTTCTAGTGCTTGTATCAGCAGCATGCTGTTCCGTCTTTTCTTGGGTACTCAACCTTGGTAGGTGAATAACTATTGCTTAAAAAACCTGCCATGCAAAAACTAGATATTATGTGTTTTACTGGCAGATTTAACACCCCTTTGTGAGTTTTGGTCTTGATTTAGCTCACTCTACACAGAACTTTTTGGTTGAAGTCTAACACAGGATTTTTACATTTATCTTAGGTGCTTACTGGGCCTCAGGTGTAGCAGCTGAGGAAGGTGCATGGAATATAGAAGACACAAAGCTGTATATTAAGCATCCAGCTCAAAAAACAGAGAGATGAACAAACTGCCATGCAATGCTTCACTAAGCAATTTGTGTAATGTTTGATATTCATGAAGAGCTCATCTTCACACAATTTCCATACTTCTGTTATGCTGTCCCTAAATCCTGGATGCAGCTTTAACTCTGAAGCTCACATTAAATCATATTTTTAAAATAAACTACATCTTCTCCCCAACACCCTACTGACTTTAGGGATGATTCTAGCACAATCATATTCACTTACTTTAATTCCTTGGGATCCATAGCCAGGGGGACCAGGAGGGCCAGGCAAGCCTTTTTGCCCAATATTACCCTGTGGGAAGATGGGGAAAAATTGAAAACATGTACAAGAAGATTAGGGAGAAAAAATATGCAGTGTACTGCTCTCCGCTTCATTCTTACATCAGGCCAATCAATATCTTCTTGCCACAAGCTATTTCATATTTTATTTAAAGCCATGTTTTCCTAAACACTTTTAGGTCACTTGAATTGCTTAAAAATAAAAATTTTCATATAATCCAAATATAAGTAAAGAGACATGGAAGAGAGACTTGAAGGAACCAGAAGGGGAGGCCAGAAGCTTCTGCTTGGCAGATGTAGATGTCCCAACATCAAGGCGGCCATACCAAGTCCAAAGACACTGATGCCAGCTTCTACATAGCCTATGCAATGCTGCTCCCTTTAATATGGAGTGTGAGTTCACTGGAAAGAATAAAAGAGTCAGTGGAGGGGTCTGGGGAGACAACTCGGTTCATAAAGTGCTTGTCATGTTAGCATGAAGGCCTGATAGGTCCCCAGCACTTATGTAAAAAAGCCATGTATGGTGCCTGAGGCAGAGAGAGGATGATCCCTGGAGCTTAATGGCCAGTAAACCTAGCAGAATCAGAGAGCCCCAGGTCAATGAGAGGCCCTGTCTCTAAAATAAGATGGACAAGTTCTTGAGGAATGACACCCAAAGTTGTCCTCTAGCTTCCATACACAAGCACACACATGTGCACATATACTCAAGCACACATACATGCACCTGTGTACACACAAAAATGTACATACACACAAAGCATACATACATAAAAGCTTGCATGCATGCATGCATATATACACACAGAATCAGCGGCTATTGCTATAATTTTTTGTCCTATAAGAAAAGTCAGTATATTTATGATTTTCTTTATAAAAGTTAGTATAATACAGTGGCCCATGGTATTGAATTCACAAAAAATATGAACAAATCAATGCTAAAATATTCAAGAAAATGTGAAACAATAATAAGCAAGCTTAGCAATCCCCAGCACTTCTTCATAGGACAAGGACTGTTCACTGGGAAAAATCTTCTGAGGTAGAATCAGATTGGGAAAGAAGCATGCCCCCCAGTGGAGCTCCAGTGCACATTAATACAGTCCTGTGGCACTTAGTGATGGGAGAAAGGTCCTAAAAAATGTGTGATGGACAATTGCTGCATTGTACAAACATCATAGTGTCTATGATACCACAATACCACAAACTAAGGTATTGTGACATCACTGAATGCTAAATCCCTAAAATATGCAGTGTGCCAGGCTAAAATTCTCTTAACTGTATATTAAAACTCTAAAAAAGTTTCGTGATGAGGAAAGTTTCTTTTATGTTTGTTTTTCTTTTTGTTTTTTTGTTTGTTTGGTTTGGGTTTTTTGTTGATATTTGTTGTTTTGTTGTTTGTATTTTTTTGTTTTGTTTTTGAGACAGGTTCTCCCTGTATAGCCCCAGATGGCCTGGACCTCTCTATGTAAACCAGGTTGGCCTCAATCTCACAGAGATTTGAAGCGTTTGTCTCCTCAGTGCTGGGATTAAAGGCATGTGACACCATGCCTGGCTGAAAGTTGCTTATTTTTGCATATCACAAAACATCCTAAATTACCACTGAACAGAATATGCTTGAGAAATGGTGGGTTAAGTTACCATATAAGTCAATTTTCTTGTCAGTGTGAGAAAAGCTTTATTTTTTCTAATTGTTTAAATTTGGGGTCTAGAGAGATGGTTTAGAGGTTAAGAGCACTAGCTACTCTTACAGAGGACCCAGGTTCAGTTCCCAACACCCACATGGCAGCTAACAACTGCCTCTTCTGGCCTCTGTGGGCATTGCATGCATGAGTGCACTTACATGCATGCAGGCAAAACATTCAAACACATAAAATAAAAAAATCAATAAAAAAAACTTTAAAGAATGTTTTCTAATTGCAAAACATTTTAAGGTTAAAATAATGATGACAATGAAGAATAAAAATGATCCATTTTTCTCAGTGATAGTGACTACTAACATTTTGGTGGGGGGTCTTCATTAATGTAAAATGATCTATGATATTCAAAAATAGCCTGCTGCCAAATGAAACTGAAAGAAAAAAAGGGATAAGCTAAGCATCCTGGTTAGCTGGGATTCTCAACACATCTTCGACTCAAGAAGTCATTCCTCCCTCCTTTCTAGCAATAGGGTTTAGATTCACTCCTGTGAATTTTGGATGTGACTAGATTTATTTAAAATCTGAATTTGTGATATGTGGCTCATGGGCACCCATTTCCCTATGAACGGGCTTAAATCCTCTTGACTTTTTGAACAAATCAAAAAATACTTTCCTTAAATAAGTGAATGAACAATTAAAACAGCTCAGCTGTTTGACATTTTAAGCCAGATCATTCTATATTTGGGGACGCCATCCTGTTCGTTGTGGGTTGGTAACAGCATCCCTGGACTTTGCCCCCAAATGCCAGCAACATCTTCAGTTGAAACAAGACTCAAATATTATCAATTGTGAAGGACCCCTGTTGGGGTCAGAATGAGGAAGGACAAAATCTACCTCAGTGAGAAACACTGACTTTAAATAATTAAGAAATGAATATCAAACTAGAGGAGAGAAGAGAAAGATGCATAGAAATGAAGGTAAAGGGGACTACACAAAGCCCCTCTTACCTCTGGACTGCTCACAGAGTGGCTGAAGACACATTGTAGAGTATTTACATTAGCCAGTGGCCTATTAAAAGGCCACCTGAGACACTTCTGGCCAAAGGTGTGTTTTTCTTTTGAGACAGGCTATCCAAAAGGCTATGTAGCTTAGGCTGGACTCAAACTTGACATGCATCACAGGCTATCTTTGAACACACGATCCTCCTGCCTCTACCTCCCAACTACTGGAACTATGTGTGGAAGTACGCACCACCAGGTCCAGTTAAGATTGGCTTCTTGATAATACTGCACAGTCCCCCAAAAGACCTGTAACTATTTAGAGCACTTTGCAACTATGTGAGAGAGGCTGACTCTCTGATTTTGTTGGGAAAGAAAAAAAGTTTTTTTAAATATAAATAAAAAAAGTTTTTTTAAATATAAAGATATTGAAGCACACATGACATAAAAAAGACTTCTTTTAATCAAGAAAAACTAAGTCAACAACAAATGAAGACTTAACATGTAGCAACCATTGAAGAGGCACTGAGAGCTCAGTTTGTCTGTCCCTTCTCAGAAATGTTTGGGGTAACAAGTGTTTCAGATTTGGGGTTCAGATTTTGGAATGTTTGCTTGTTTATAATGAGTTTCTTTGGGGATGGGTTCCACATCTAAAAAAAAAATTTCTTGTATTTCACAGGCCTCCTCTATAGCAGCCTGGAGGCACGTGGGTTTGACTGCCGCTCATCTCGAGTCAGGTGTGCAACTTGCCCCTTTCCATGTCATGCTGTGCTCAAAAGTTTCAGAATTTGGAGCATTTCCCATTTGAGATTTTCAGATTAGGGATGACCAATCTGCACCTGACCCTTACACAGCAAAGACCTGAGGACTCACCTTTGGCCCTTGGGTTCCAACTCCACGAGGTCCAGAGGGCCCTGGAGGACCTCTGACCCCAGGTTCTCCCTGAAAAGACACAATGAATGACACATTATTGATATAAAAAAGAAAAAAAAAACACAGCTTTTAACTTTCCATAATAAATACACATTTTCAAAAGTATATTTAAATTTTTTTAAATCCCTTGAATTTGACTAAGATGCTAACTGAACCCTTTTCTTCTAAATCATTTCCTATTCTGATATTGTGTGTGATCTCGCTGTAATTTCTTCTTGCCACTTATGCAATCTTTACAACAAATGCTAAAGTTTCCATTTCAAATCAATCCAGTTAATTAACTTCCTGGCAACATTAATATGCACTTCTTTCAAAACTTGCCTCTCTAGAATTTGGAATATTAATTACTGTTACTGTGAACAGAAGAGGAAAGAAAATATAAGGACAGAAATCAGCTGCAAAGAGCTACAACCACATCCTGAACAAGCTGCCCTTACTGTTTCAACAACTAAAATCATGTTATTTGACTTAGGGAATGACTCTGTGATATTTCTGCCACTACACGATTGTGACCACAAGTTACATTCTATAAAGCCTATTCCAAGACGTGATAGTTTAACAACAGGCAAGTACTACCAGAAAAGTGGTGAGACATGATGAAGGTCGGTCAAACCCTATCGTATGACCTCCCTGAGGTGCTGACAGAAATAATAAAACAAATATAAAACCTCTTCATTAGTCACTTTCTGTATGCCCAAGGCTATGTTAGGAATGCTGATAGGTTTCATTTGATATGATTTAATATTCAAAATAATCTTGCATTACAATGCTGACTACTTTAATTCCTCTGAATTTCAGTAAATTCATTAGATTCATAGAAAATAATATTTATACTCCATGGGGAGTGAAGTGAAACAAAGGTTCATAAGGTCTACCACAGGAGTGTACTTGGTAAATGTCAGATCACCATATACCTGCTTTAGTTAATGAGGAAACTACTGAAGTTTGTGCAAGTCTGCCCAGCTATTAAGAGGCTGGGCTCAGCAGAAGTAGAGAAGCAGTAACCCTCTAAATAACTACTACAGTTCTTTTGGAAAACAGCTTGGCAGTTTCTCTAGAAGTTCTTTAGATATATTTGCCACCTCACCCAGGGATTTCATTGTTAAATATACATCCAAGGAAAATAAAAGCATACGTCCTCCCAAAGTCCTGCATATGAGAATCCTTAGTAGTATTATCTATGATCACTCAAAACTGGAAACAACCCAATACCATCATCTGGTGAATGTGTAAACAATGTGATAAGAAACAAATTGTGGATTCATCCTATAATTTGGATGAACCTTAAAAACATTGTGCTCAGTGACAGACACCAGACATACAAGACTCCATTTATGAAATGTCCCAAAAAAGTAAATCTATGGAGACAAAAAGTAGATTGGTAGTTGCTTGGGGCCAAGAACAGGAACATGAATTAACTGTGAGCAAGATCCGGCTTTGGTAGGCTAAGGCTGAGATCCTAGCAGATAGCTTGAGAGAGTGGGTTCCATCCTCCACCAGTGTAGTGGCTGTGATCTCACCACACCGCCAGACAGTCCCAGGATCTGATCTCCCTCTGGCATAGGGGCTGAGAACGCAAGGGACTGCCTGAGAAAGCCCTGATCCTGCCTCCATGTTGTGGGGTCCAAACCTTAGAAGGAAGCCTGAGTGTACCTGACTGGAACCTGACTTGGGCTTCTGTGGGTGTTCCTGAGTAGTTGATCTGAAGCCATCAGTTCCCTCCAAAATAAAACCTGAGAGAACCTGAAACCTGTACCAATCAGCTTTACGTAACCAATAAGGAAAGGACGTAGGCACCCTGATAATATAAACAGAAGCATACTTCAGCTTAATTCTCATATCAGAACCATAACAAAAGAAATTCACATGTCAAAATCACAACGAAAGAATAATAAAATGGAAAGCCAAAGCACTATGTCCCCACCAATGCCCACCAGTCCTGTAGAAGAGTTCTACAAGGAGAACTACTATAGATAACCCAGGACACTGAATTTAAACAATCATAAACATGATCGAGGAAGTTGATGAATTTAAAGAACACACAAACAAACAAATCAAAGAACTGAAAGAAGATAGGGATAAACTTCTGAATGAATTCACAAAAGAGATAGAAACACTGAAGAAAACTCAGGCAGAAATGAAGAAGGTAGTGCAAAACTCAATAAACCAAGTTGAAACAACAGGGAAAAGCCTCGCCACTAGAATGAATGAAATGGAAAACAGAATATCAACACTGGAGGATAAAGCTGAAGAATTGGACCACTCAAGCAAAGATTACGGAAAATTTTTTAAAAAACAGGAATGGAATATGGAAGAGATCTGGGACACCATGAAAAGGCCAAATCTATGTATCATAGGAATACAGGAAGGAGAAGAATTTCAGGTTAATGGTATTGACCATATTTTAAACAGGATTGTAGAAGAGAATTTCCAAAAAATAAGGAAAGACATCCCCATACAAATACAGGAAGCACATAGAACACCAAATAGACAGGATCAGAAAAGAAACTCCCCATGACATATCATAGCAAAAAATTTTCCGGTAGCCAGGCGTGGTGGTGCATGCCTATAGTCCCAGCACTTGGGAGGCAGAGGCAGGTGGATCTCTATGAGTTC